TTAAAAAAAAAAAAAAAAAAAAAAAGTTAGGGTTTGTACCCCTGTCAGACAACCTAAAAAGTGTATTTTAAAAGCCTCTTTACTTTGAATAAACCCTTATTTGTATGGTTAAATACCATTTATACACTGCAGAGAAAGACTGGGAAATGTGCTGACAGCTACTAAACCAGTATTCCCCCATATTTAAGGCAAGAGATAAAGTTTAAGAATTAAAGATGCCAGCAAACAGACAACTATGCAGGCAATGGGATTCTCTAAAATTTTCCCTTTTTTAAATTAATAAAGCACCCCTTTGGCTGAGAAACCTATTTATGTATCTGAAGTAGAGAGCCACAAACAATGAGAGGCCATTATAAAACTGCTGTTCACTCTAATGAGATCTGCACTTGTCATGAGGAGGTAGTGATGGACCCCATATTCAGATAGGATGTGCTCTTGCAGGAGGAATGAGATAGATGACCTAGCTACATTTGTGGTCCCCTTTGTTCTTTGGTGGGGAGGTGGGAAAAAGTAAGGAAGTTGATCGCTCCATTAATGGAAAATTAAATACTGGGCTAATGAAGCCAACGCAACTATGACTCCTTTCTAACAACTTGCAGCCTGTCCTACACTGCATTGGTATTGGTGTTACTTGTACAACAAATAAGGGCCAAAGTCAAATTGAATTCCATGTCTTTATTTTTTTATTCTGCTACTTTACATTGCTTCGTTTTGTTTATTCATACGTATCTTTATATATTATATTTGACTGTACTGCTCCTTAAAATTAGTAAAATACATAAAATTATTATATACTTTTACCAATAACCACAAATCATGCAACTTTATTACTATACAATACAGTTTTATTGTTAATTCTACTGAATTGTAGTTAGCAAAAGTTGCAAATAAACAACCACTACTGCATAAATTTAAGTTTCAGACTTAAAAGTAGATGTTACAGATGTCCAGTGTATACATCTAGCTGTAAGCCAATATACTGTGGAAATCCTTGGAAAAGTGGTCCTGGACTTGAGGGCTGAAAAATTCTTTTGTGGAAATCTGAAGCTCTTCCTCAAATATTTACTAACATTCAGCATGCAGTTCTTGGAAATGTTTGGTCACTGTCTACATATTTTCACTGTAAAGGACTCAACTCTGTGGTTGCAGACGTAGAGGGCTCTGTTAAACATTACATGGAAGTCATTCTTTAGGAAGTCTGGGATTTGTATTTAGAAGGTTCTCTCTCCCTAGGACTTTAGTGAAAAGGATATTAATAAGTAGGTATGTATAACTATCTTTGAGAAAATGACAAGTGCTATTCATTAAGCTGTTTGATGGAAAAAAAAAAAAGCCCTTAGAAGTCAAAATTGTTTTCTAAGAGGTCCCTCATTAATCTTGCAAATAAAATATGCTCTCCAGTTCAAAGCATCAAGAGCTGGTGAAAATACACTCACGTTAATTTGAGGCAACACAATGACACTAGTTTAGAGACGTAGTGTGAAGTACTATGTGTTATCATCATTTTTCTTAATGTCAGCATTTGACAAGAGTGTAACATATTTTGCATCCAGCATGGGTAAAGACTTTCTGGTTTGCTGTACAAATCACATCCACATTTTTTTAAATGATTTCACACAAGTTTAGGCTAGAAGTCATCTGACAAAGCTGTTGGATTCATAGGTAAATGACAACAGGTTGTTCAGATCCCAGGAGCAGCTGTGACACCCCCTGGTGGGCACATAATTCCTGTCCCAGCTCCAACTCTAGGAGGCTCTCACCTGTTACTTGCCTACCACACCTTTGATGTTATTGTTTGGAAAGGAGGCAGGCTGCCTGGGGAACCTAGAGTTGAGCCTGTCATTGTTCAAGTCACAGCCTATGCCTTTTTTGCTCTAACTGAGCCCCTCTAGCTCTAGTCTAGAGACTGCACCAAGACTCAGGGTTCCCAGGTCCTCAGCTTACCCGCTTCAACTACTAGATCACCCTCCTTGGGCTGTTGAGCCTCCCAAGGCTCTCTCTGTTTGGGCACCAAATTCTGCCTCTGCCTTACTTGGGCATTGGGCCCCCTGGCTCCCAAATTCTCAGTCCTGCCTTTCTCTGGCTCTCTGCAACTGCTGAACCTCCCCTGCAGGTGCTATGAGACTTCATAACCCACCCCATAGGCCCGCCAAAGCACCAGGTAAAACTGGAATCAAAACACAAATAGAAGCCCATCTGGCTCTAACAAAACTACTAGCCCAGTCCTTGCTCTGGATCTGTTGCTAGCATCCGTCTAGCTGACTCAAGGCCTAACGTACTCACAGTCACCTTTGCAGAGCTCCTTCTTGCTTCATTCCCATGGCCAGATTAGCTGGTCAGCCCCTGGGGCCGCCTTTTATTCCTCCCAGGGCCCTGCCCCCTCTTTCAGTCAGCTGACTCTTCTGGGCTGCCTGCAGGTGCCTCCTAATTAATTTAATGAACCAGTCTCTATGGCAGCCTAGCTGCAGCTCTGCCCTGCCTCCTGAGTAGGGCTCTGCCTGGGCTCTTGCTCTCTTAAAGTGACAGACCCCCCAGGTGCTCCATCACAGTACCAGGCACTGTTGATGGACTCATTGTTTTTTGTTGTGTTTGGACAAGAATGGAAGCATGTATTTTCATAGTTTCATAGTTTGTAGGGTCGGAAGGGGCCTGAGCAGATCATCAAGTCCGCCCCCCTGCCGTGGCAGGAAAGAGTACTGGGGTCAAACGACCC